CATGGTGCCGGGGCCGCCCCGTGCGTTGGCGCCGAGGAGCATGCGTTGAGCGCCCGCTGAATACTGGGCACTGTGCCCGAGACCCGCTCCGGGGTCCTGAGGTGGAGGAGAGCGACCGAGGGCTGCGAGCTGGGTGTCCTGGGCAGGCCCCGGGTCGAGGGCGCCGAGGAACAGGCCTGCGTCCGGCCCCTTCTAGGAGCTCCGCAGACCCCCAGGCCTCCGGAACTGGATCCGAGGGCTTGCTTTGCCCGGCACTCGGTCCTCGCCTGCATCTGCAGTGAAACGGGAGCTCCCTACCTTCCCGCAGGCCTTTCCCACCCAGTAGCTGCCCTCCCGCCGCCTGTGTCCGGGCGGGGCCCGCCTTGTCTCCTGCGCCGGCCTTCTCTGGCTTCATCCTGCAGGACAGGAACGTCACCTGTTCCTCCTGGCTGCTGGCTCCCCGCACTTAGCACCAGCTCTAAGGCAGTCGGTGGCCCTCAAGATTTGTGGACTGTGTGGAATTTAGGCTGCAGGCCTTGGCCCTCACCCTGCAGGCAAAGGGGCCCTGGAAGGCAGGGGCCAGCAGCAGTCAGCGTTTGTGGAAGGCGGTGATGTGGATGCTGGTTTAGAGCAGGGTGTGCGGGGGCCTGGTGGGAGGCCAGGCCGGTCACCTGGCTTGTTTCCTTCTCTGCCTTGTCCTTTCTTTGTTCCCCTCTCTTTCTTCCTTCACACAGTAGCCATTGTTCCCGGCTCACAGCAGGCCCACTTGTCAGCACAGCCTGGGAGGTTTGCTCTCTGCAGTCTCAGGGACCCTGTGCACTGACCTTGCCCAAGGCCATCGTGGGTTTCAGGGTCCAGGGGGCAGATGGAGAGAACAGGAAGTAGAGGGCCCCGTCTAGAAGTGGTAGGCGTCCTCCAGCCATGTCCCATGGATCACAGCTGTCTCATGGCCCCGCCGTGATGCAGGGGACAGGGAAGCAGCTGCCCAGAGAGACCTGGATGGGCATTGTCCGAAGCCTGGGGAGTGGCACTGACCTTTGAGGGAGGGCTGTGTGTGTGAGAGATTTGGTGGAGTTTGCAGTTTGGCAACAGGCAGTAAGAGACGTGGAGACGCCCAGGTCCCTAATCCTGGGGGGGTGGTGACTGACGGGCAGATTTCAGTCTGACACTGCGCCTGGACGTGGTCCTTCAGGTGGGAGTTTGGGAGGAGGAGCTGTTGTCCGGTGGGCCTGTGAGACAGGCCTGGGAAGATGGGCTGAGGGGGGCGCCTTGGGGGACTCAGCGGGTGAGAGACGGTGGAGAAGGGGCCCTCGGAGAGGGAGGAACCGTCGTGAGAGGAAGGAGGTGCAGCAGGCGGTCCCGTGGGCAGGTGGGTGTGGGTGTAACGAGAGCACTGCTGGGGCTCCTTGCAGCATCCTCATGTGGTGAAACGGGGGTGGACGCCGATTCTCCTGCGAGCCCCCACGTTTGGTAAAGTAACAATGGAAGCCTGATTCCCAGAGGCGCCCCCACACTCGGCCCAGGTCACACTTGACTTTGAGATGTGGTTGTGGGAATTTTCTGACCTGGGTTACTGAGTTCTTCACGCTGATACAGGCTATTTCTGGAACCTTCTTTCTTCTTTTCTGGCTGCATTTGGCTGAATAGGTGTGGCTTGCCACATTTCTTTTTGCCCAGGGACCTGGTTGTCTTCCTGGGGCACGTGCTCAGCTGTTTCAGAAGCAGGCCCTCCCTCCTGCTCTTGTTCATCCATGGCAGGGCTGGGGAGGGTCCCGGGCCCCTGAGGAGGCAGTGGGGCTCTTGGTCCAGGGCACAGTCTGCAACTTGTTTGAATCCCAGCTCTGTTTCTGGCCAGCTGGGCATCTTGGGCAAGTTGCTTTTCAGTTTCCTCATCGGTGGAATGGGCAGAATAGTATTGCTCACCTCATAGCTTGTCAAGACAGAATCCACAAGCTCAGAAAGCATGTAGGCAAGTCCCTGTTAGAAGGGAAGCGCTGAGTAACGTTAGCAGTAACCACCACCACCATCACATGGTCTTTATTACGTCAGTTTAGTCCCTCTGCCTAGAGCATTCTTCCAGCCTCTCCTTGCTTGGCTTGTTCTCAGTCTTTAAGGATTCAGCTTGGGCTTCCAAGAACCTCCCTCTGGCTTCCTCCCCACATCTGCCCAGCCCAGCCCACAGGAGCCCAGGTGTCCTCTGTCTGGGGCTGATGTTCCCGGCACAGCTGACCTTGCACTTTGATCCTACATTGGACCCCTCTCTGCCACCTCCACTGGATGAGAGATCTGGGGGCCAGGAGTGCTCCAGGGCCCCCCTCGTACCACAGTGAGGGGAGCTGTCCTTCCCTGAGGTGGGGCCCACCAGGAGTTTGGGTTTCTTCTGAGACCTGATAAGTTGTCCACGTGAGCTGCTGGACCAACTGTGGGGTCTCAGTTCAAGGCTGTCCGCAAGCTGGGTCAGTGCAGAGATGGGGTCGTGGGTGGCATGTTTGAGGGGACTTTCTTCCTAAGGTTGATCTGATCTGAAAGCCCAGCTCTTCCTGCTCTGCTTCTGTGCCTCAGAGAACCCAGTTCTTAGGGAATTAAAACTTTCTTGCTCAGAGGAAGCCAGTGGGGGAGTTTTTAAATAACGGAGGATCATGGGAAGCTGGTAGTTTTTGGTGAAGAAAGGTTTAAAGTGGACAAGGAGTCCCCAGGTTCCAGAAGTGAGGGGTGGTAGAGGCAGCTGGCTGTGAGGAGAACCCCAGAGGGTCTGGTTCCACTGGGCCCCGTTCTCTGTGTGGCGGGTAGAGGCCGCTGCCCCTGCCCCCAGCTCCCCTACGTGACTGTTCGCAGGGCTGCTTGCCCCGCCTGGCACTAAGAGTCCTCAGACACAGTGTGGCAGTGTGGCAGGTCTGAGTCAGGCCAATGCTATTTGCCTGGCACTTCCTGGTCTGGTGACCCAGGTGGCCATTTGAAGGCTTGTCTTTGATCCTCAGGGCACAGGGCCAGAGGCTGGGCCCAATGAATGCCCGACCAGTGCTTCTGGATCGAGAGAGTGGAAGAGCCAACTCCAGGAGGGAAACACATTTTATCTAGGCCCATGTCTGCGTGTGGTCTGTGTCCGTCAGCCTGTGTGGCTGTGAGTGTGTGGATGTGTGCCTGTGCATGTCTGTCTGTCTGTCTCTCTCTCTCTATGACCACAAGGTGTCCCTGCGCTTTCATACTGCGAGGTCAGGTGCTGACCGCCCATCCCCCATGCTGCTCTGTGGTGGGTGACTGGGCGGGGAACTTCCCTGCCTGTAGTTCTCCTCCAGTGCCTGTGAGGGGCGCTGTCTTGGCCCTGGAACTTGCCAGGTGCCATCTCCTGTGTAGACGAGAGCCCTGGTTCCTCATTGCACAGACTGACTGTTTCGTTTCCCGGACTTGTAAACATCAGGAAGTAGTCTAGAAAAATCCTCCCCAAGACCAACTTTGTCAGCACTGCTTCTTTGCAGGAAGAGCTGCAGGAACGGCCACAGCCTGACGACCCTACACAACCAGGGTGTGCTGAAGAGCCACGGTGTGGACCACCTCAGCTTGAGTGAGCTCTGCCAGCTCCTGTTCCAGAATGACCCCTGGCTGCTGCCTGAGGTGAGCGCCGGCCAGCGGGGCGGCTGTGCCTGCAGGGAGGACGAGAGGCTGCCCTACGACGCAGGCTAAGGTGGAGGCTAAGGTGGCTCGGTGAGCGCTTAGTGGTGATGGTTGAGCAACCCGAGGAACGTAATTAGTGTCGCTGAACTGTCCGTGTGACGTGGTGGAAATGGCGGATGTCCAGTCACGTGGGTGTTTGCCACACACAGAAGGGGCTCCGTCAGGGGGCTCCTCGGCTCAGTTTGAAGCCCTTTGGATTTTCCCAGTGGAGGGTGTGGTTCTGGCCGCCTGCTTTCCTCCCGGTGCCCAGTTCACCATGGGCACCTTGCAGCCATGCACCCAGAGTTAGTGGCCTTGTGGCTGGCAGAATCACAGCTCTGGCCTTGGGACCTTTCCTAGCTGGTGCCTGGTCTGTGGGGAGGATGTGTCAAGAGGGGCCTCCCCGAGCCAGCCTCTCTGCCCTCCTCCCGACAGATCTGCCTCCATTATAACAAAGGAGATGGGCCCCACGGTTCCTGCACCTTCAAGACACATTGCACCAAACTCCACATCTGCCAGTACTTCTTACAGCATGAGTGCAAGTTTGGCGTGAGCTGCAAGCGATCGCACGACTTCTCCAGCTCCGAGACGCTGGAGAAGCTGCAGAAGCTAGGCATGAGCCCCAGTGTGGTGCGCAGGCTGCCCGCCATCTACAGGAATGCACACGACATCAAGAACCAGCGCTCCACCCCAGACACACCGCTCGCGGGCCCCCGGACGACCGCTGGTGAGACTCGGGCGTCTGCAGGCCTGCGGCACGGGGGCACGGGGTCCTGGGGTCCGGTCGCTGTGAAATGGGCTGTCTGATTGTGGGCAAGTCTGTGCTGCTTCTAGTAGAACAGAAGTGGGGTCCTTTCCAGCTCCTGGGGGTCATAAAGATAATCGTTGGCGTGGATGGATTTGTTAAGATGTCTAGACAAATTGGAGTTGATGTGGATGAAGCGTGAATTCTGCATGGGTCTGGTCTGTTCTGAGGTAGACGGCCCGGCTCTCCCCCAGTGCTGTCGCCCCCCCACCTCTCCAGTGAGGGTCCCCAGAGTGACGTGTGCCATGCCGCACACCTGTAAGGGGCCACCTTCATACTGGGTTCTGTTTTGATTTTAAAATCTGAGTGAAAGAAAGAAAAAACAAACTCACCGCCGTCGAGTTGGATCTGACTCATATCGACCCATCCTTGGGTTTCTGAGGTGGTATCTCTATAGAAGTAGATTGCCCAACCTTCCATCCGAGGAGTAGCTGGTAGGTTTGAACTGTCAGCCTTCTGGTTAGCAAATGCCTTAGGCACTACGCACCAGAGCTCCCAAGTAAAAGAAGCCGGTGTTAATTTTGACAGCGGCTGTCGTCTTGATGTGCACAAGTCCAGTCTTCTGGGCTGTTGTCTGCTTTGTCTGCTGCCCCTGAACACTGCCTGTCCCAGGAGGCACACCTGCCCCGGGAGGTGCTCGGACCTGTGTGGAGTGAATGAGTGTGCGAGGGTGCTGCAGAAGGTGCGAGGAGGCAGCGTCCTCTCATACCTCCTGTGACTTCACAAGGGGGAGAGAGAATCACCCTCAGGAACCCGAGACCGATTCCTATGAGGCCAGACATGCCACCACCCTCCTCCCTCTTTACCAGTTCTGACATCAACCGTCCCTCCCACAACCTCTCTGCTTCTCTGCTGGATGCAGTAATTTGTTGCCCTGACTACACAGAACTCATAGACAACAGTCACTGTTATGGGGCTTATTAGGGAAGCCACAGGTTACAGTTCAGGTTCAGGGGCACTCAGGATACAATTCTTCCATCAGTTCAGCCGCCCCTCTGCTGTGCCCTCAGGCACGCTTCTCTGGCCCTTGGCCTCTGTCCTGCTCAGGCCAGTGTTACAAAGCTGTTTTAGCTCTGTCTACAGGGGCACCCCATCTGCCAGCAAGCCTTCTGCCTAAAGGCATTCAGCTTTCTCACTCTCTGGGCTGGCAAGCCTGCCACTCTGTCTCAGTTCTACTGTTGCTACCTCTCTGCTGGTCTCTCTGCCAAGGAGGTCCAGCAAAGGGATCTTGGGTCAAAGGATGTGTTCCACTCCACCTTCAGTTCTTCTGTCTTGTTGGCAATGAGATCCCCCTTTCTGCCTCTGGGAGGGCTCCTTTTACGCCTAGTGGAATGACAAAGCTGACCAATCCCCACACGAAAGTTCTATACGCCTCTTTGCGTGGTCCCGCCCCCACAAGGGTGCCACGTACTTTCTTTACGTTACTAACAAGCTGTCCAGTGCTCTCGGGGGCCACAGGCACCTTTCATTCCCACCCAGTCACCTGGTGGGCGCCACAAAGACCACGGTGAGGAGAGCCAGGCAAGTAATTCCCCGCACCACAAGGATTGTCAGCAAAATGGGGGGATTTTGAGCAACGTTTACTTAATGGGCGTTTCCTGAGCACCTGTAGTGTGGAAGTCACGAACGAAGTCCCTCAGGAGCTTAGGGTACACGGGTGTCCTCGGATTTCACCATCGAGGTGCTTGGCTGACCGTCCTGGTTGTCAGCTTTCATTCAGAAATTCAAGTGCTTGCCATGTGCTGGACCCCATGCAGGGCCTGATGATGCTCGGTGAGCAGTGTGCCACTGGGCATCCCAGGCTAGGACCCTGTGGTGAATCCTGGGGTTGTGTAGATCACTGCTACGGTACCAGGTGGGGCCCAGGACTGCCAGCCAGGAAACTGCCCACCTGATTTTAGCATCAACTTTTATGTATTTTTTTTTTTTTTAATTGTGATTTGGGTGAAGATTTACAGAGCAAATTCACTTTCCATACAGCAGTTCACATATACTTTGTCTCATGTCGTTGGCCACAGTTTACCACAGTTTACCCCTCCCACTTTCTCCCCATAGTTACCTCTTCCCAGTGTCCGTCCCTCCATACACTCCTGCGCCCTGAGCTGTCTCCCTGTGCATAAGCAGCCCTTCCTTCTCCCATGATTGTTCTCTCCAGGACATGTGTCTACTTGAGGTAAATGTTTAACTCACATGTCTGTATTTTGTTTGGCTGGAAACCACAGGTGTGGGTTCAGTTCCAGACCTGAAGTCAACTTTTATATTTAAAGGGTTACCTGGTCATGTGAGTATTTTTCTTCCACTGCATTTCACGTTTCTTTTGACTATAGGACACTTAGATGCAGAAAGAGTTTGCTCTAGACAGGTCTTTAATGGTGTCAGGTGGGTTCAGCTTTGTTGGAGGAGGGGGGCCTTGCTGCTAAGTCCAGTCGAAAGAGCAGTTACCTGCCCTTGGAGAGGGAAGGAATGACTTTGAGGGTCCCCAGGCAGAGGTTTTGAGGCCTGGTCTGTGGAGCATCTGAGGGGACCTGGACGAGGGAGACGAGCCACAAGATGGCGGTGGTCCTAAACAGGGAGGGCTGCAGTGAGTTTTCTCCGCTTCCTCGGGACGGGGAGGGGCGTACACGTAAGGAGCACACCCAGGCCGGTGGGAGTGTCTACCTTCCCTTTGAAGATACTTACAAACCAGAAAAGCCAGGCCCACTGCCGCTGAGTGGGTTCAGACTCGGTGAACTGAGTGAACGGCCCCACAGGGTTTCCTAGGCTGTGATCTTGCCAGAAGCAGACTGCCTCCGCTTTCGTCCATGGAGCCGCTGGTGGGTTCGAACCAACCATAGACCTTTCAGTGAGCAGCCAAGCACTTAAGCGCTGCGCCACCAGGGCTCCTTCTGAGATTCTGAAAACGACCTGGGGTTCACGAAGGCAGGCTTGTTCAGACACATTGGCTTTCCGTTCGGCGTGAGATCCTGATGGGGCTTTGAAAAAGGCCTGTCTGCTGTCGGGTCATTGCCGACTCACGGGCCTGTGGGCGTCGGAGTGGAGCTCTGCTCCGTAGGACTGTCAGGGCCGGTCACCCGAGGCAGCTCTGGGCAGCAGATTTCCAGATCTCCAGCATTTTCGTTAGCAGCCGAGCGTGTTAACGGTCTACGCTGCAGGGGCTCTGAGGGTTCACAAACAATTACTTGGTATTGAAAAAAACCCCATCAAATTGGCGTCATGAAAAGTCGACCCTGGGCTCATCCCAGGCGTAGACGGCGACCCTTCACCTGCCTGCCGTGCGGAATAGTGGCTCCTCTCTGTGCAAGAGTGTTCCAGGCTCACCCCTGAGCTTCTGACCTGGCCATTCTGGGGCAGACAGGGAGACCGGCCACGTGCAGTTTTACAAGGTTTCCTCAGGGTCCTGGTGGAGGTCGGGTTGAGAGAAGGGAGCCCCTGGAGGACACAGCGCCCTGGGATTGGTGAGCAGCCATGTGGCCTGGGGCTCTCAGGCTCCCCCTGTAGAAGGTAGAGGCCCCAGTGTGTATGAGGGGGCCGCACCCCTGCACTGCCGGGTCACGTCACCTCTGCACTGCAGGGTGGTGTGGGGTCACGTCACCCCTGCACTGCCGGGTCGTGTGGGGTCATGTCACCCCTGCACTGCCAGGTCATGTGGGGTCACGTCACCCCTGCACTGCCGGGTCGTGTGGGGTCACGTCACCCCTATACTGCTGGGTTGTATGAGGTCACCTTGCTCAGTCTGCCTCACACAGCGGGTGGGTGAATCCTTTTTCCTCTCCTCTACGCTGCCATCTCACCCCTGCACTACCAGGTTGTGTGGGGTCACGTCACCCCTGCACTGCTGGTGCACTACTGGTGCCTCATCCCTACACTGCTAGGTTGGGTGGGTTCGCCTCACCTACTCTGCCTCATGCAGGGGGTAAGGGAACCCTCTGTCCCTTCCTTCGCCCCCAGAACTGCTCTAAGCTGCATCAGGAGCTTTGGTGGAAGTGGACAGATGTCTGTGATACTTCTTTGCAGAGAGAAGAGAGGCTTCAGGTCCTGGGTCCCCAGATACCACCAGCCAAGAGGAGAGCAACCAGATCTGCCTGTACCACATCCGGAAGAGCTGTAGCTTCAAAGGTGAGTGGGTGAGGCCTCGCCCACAGGAGGGAGCTGCCTTCCACCTGTCCAAGCACTCTGCTCCGAGGCTGCCCCAGGTGCTCACCCCCAAACCAGAGAACAGCTTAGCGGGGAGTCGGGAGGGCACTTTGGCAGTTTCATGGAGATGTTTGGGCTGGGGAGAGTAGGAATTCCCTGTTCCTAAAAGTCAAACTCTAGACCAGTTACTGGTTCATTCAGCAAATGAGTCACAGACCTGCCCCAGACCAGTGGGACAGAGAAGACAGGCTCAGTTCTCAGACGACACAGACTGACGTGAATGAGTCCTGGTCATCCTTCCTTAAAGGTCAGCGCGGGCCGCGTGGTTGCAATGTTCGTCTTCCGTGTTCTCAGACAGATGGCACCGGGTCATACGCGTTGCTTAACCTGCTGCTTTCACTTGACCTTGTGATTTGGAGACGCCATATCAGTACACACTAGTCAGTCTCATTTTTAAGGACAGCTCCGTGGTACGCAGAGCTCTGTGGCCCAGTGCCTAAGGCATCTGACGGCTAACCAGAAGGTTGCACTCCTTGGAAGGAGGACAGGGCAATCTACTTCTGTGAGGATTTACAGCCTCGGAAACCCAGTGGGGGTTGCCATGAGTCAGAATCGACTTGATGGCTGTGAGTTTTGTTTTGGTTTACTGAGTAGCCATGTTCATGCATGCATTTCTGTAGAGTAGATTCATGGGAATAGAATTGCCATTGTCAGAGAGCATGTACCACATATGCACACAGCAAGAGTCCCGGGGTGGTAAAATGGTTTGTGCTTGACTAGTAATCTGAAGTTGGTGGTTTGAACCCCCCTAGCTGTGCTGTGGAGGAAGGGTCTTGTGACCTGGTTCCATAGGGTTCCAGCCAGGAAAACCCTGTGGGGCAGTTCCTCTCTAACACCTGGGATCGCCAGGAGTTGGAATTAATTTGATGGCAACAGGTTTGGTTTGGGTTTTATATACACACGTATGTGTCTTTTACACGTCACTTTATTGAGATAATACTTCACACACAGTGCCCTGTGTCCAGGTCTCGGTGCTGGTGTGTGTGCTCTGGTGACCATCCCACCACTGAGCCAGGGCAGTGCCATCCCTCCCGCGGAAGTCCTCCAGAACCAGGTGTCAGTGGTACCATTGATTTCCTGGGCTTTGGGTTTACTCTTCTCTGTCTGTCATCGCGGGGATTTGGGGAAGGGAAGGAGGCTGATGAGTTGGCCACATTAGTCTAGTTCCTGTGACTCATCGGGAAAGGGGGCCAGGAGGAGGAGGAAGACGTGGCAGCTGGGGCCCAGGCCTCCGTCCTGGGGCGTGGCCTGTGGGGCACTCTCTGTACTGGGTACTTCCAGGCTTGTGCGTGGTGGGGCGGCCGTGCCCGGCCTTCCAGAAAAACTGGAGCCTGAGACCTTCCCTCTGCCCTCGTATCCTTCCGGGAGGGCTGGCGTGGGCCTCTCCCCAGTGGGTGCCTTCTGCGTCTCTGCCAGGATGCCTGCGCCTGGGCTCCGTAGACCTGTGTGTGAGTGGTGGCGTACCTGGTGAGGCCTTTCCATGGCCCCTGGTCATGTCCTTGTGGACCTGGCTCTGGCTTTGTTGGTCCTGGTCCAGCCTTCACCCCAGCACTGCTGTGCACACACCTTGTGGAGAGTCCCGCAGGCTCCTTGGCCTGGAGCAGGAACTCCACTGCGAGCCCCGCCCCCTCTGGCCTCTGGGGCCGCTTTGTGTCCCGTCCTCCGCTGGGCCTGCCCTTCTTGTTCCCCGAGACTTGCCTGCCTGGCGCAGGCCTGGTCTCCAGCCACCCCGGGAAACTCTCCTCTTCCTTTGTGGTAACCGCTTGGGAAGAAGGTGGCACTCATGCCCAAAAGAGTACATCAGGTTGTCGAAAATTTTATTCTTTTAAGTGTCAGGTAAGCCACACTTCTGATTACTGTTTGAAAAGATAAAATGTATGAAGGGTTGACAGCAGGAAGCAGGGCTCCCTCACTGCACCCCTCCAGGAAGCGTCATTGCTGCCAGCCCCAAACATCCTTCCCTGAAGATGCCACAAGGTGCCCTAGTGGATCGGGGTTAGGTGGTCTGCCACAACCAGAGGGTGGTGGTTCTCACCTGCCGGCAACCCTCTTCCATAAAGATGACATCATTGGAAACCTTCTGGGCAGTTCTACTCTGTCCTGTGGGGCTGCCATGAGTCAGAATGGACTTGACAGCAGTGGGCTTGGTTTGTTTTTCCAAGCTAGGGGTCCTTATCTTCTAGCGTTTCATCAGACAGAGGGGATGGAGCTGAGACAGGGCCATTATGGGGGTTGAGGCCAAGGCAGAGTGGGCTCCGTAGACCTTAGAGCGTGCATGGGGTTGCAGGGGTTGATACGGCCGTAGCTGGAACCATGCTGGGGGCTGGACTGCTGCTGACCACTGCGAGCGGACGTGGGGCTGGGCTGGGCGTCTGGTCTTCAGCATGGTGTCCTCACAGCCACGCTGCACACTCAGGGGATACCAAGTCATATGCCCATGCAGGGACAGTCCTCTGGCCTCCGCTCAGTCAGCATCTTTCTTCCATGAAAGGAGATTCTCAGCTAACCTACCAGTGGACGTGGCTTAGAAGTTAGCATAGGGTCCTAGCAGGTGCAGAGCAAAATGTGCCGAATGGAACACGCAGTTCTGGCATGTCTGGGCTCAGGCCCGACCACACCAAAGACTAGCTCCCCCGTGAACACCCCTCACCGCCAGCCAGTGGCAGCGCCCAGGCCTCTTAGCCCAGTTGTGTTGTCCAGACATCTCACTGCTTCCTGTTTTTTCAGACAAGTGCCACCGAGTCCATTTCCACCTGCCGTATCGCTGGCAACGCTTGGCCGGAGGGACATGGGAGGATTTGGACCAGATGGAGTGTATTGAAGAGGCGTACAGTGACCCCGGCAGAGACCAGTATGTACGGCACGCACTGGGGCCCGGCTGCCTCGAGGGTGGCCTTCTGTGCGCTGAGCGGGAGGGCAGACCCACGGGGGTTCATGTGGGTGTGCAAGGGTATGGGCCTTAGGGCAGGGTGTGTGCACGTGCACACAGCACACACCCACCCCACACATGCACATGCACACATTATCACACCCCACATACCACACCCTCATACAATATACACATACCACACACCCACATACGATACACACATATCATGTATATACACACCTACATACAACATGCACATACCACACATACACACATACAGTGTACACATACCACACCCACATGCAATAGACACATACCACACACCCACCCACATACAATATACACATACCACACACCCACATACAATATACACATGTCATATATATACACACCCACATACAACATACACATACCACATACACACACAATATACACATACCACACCCACATACAATAGACACATACCACACCCACATATAATATACACATACCACACACCCACACCCATAAAATATGCACATATCACACATACACACCCACATATAATATACACATACTACACCCACATATAATATACACATACCACACATACACACCCACATACAATATACACATACCATGCACTCATATACACACAAACATGCACTGTCACACACATGTACACTCAGACACACACAGAGACATGCACACTGTCACAATATGCACACTTATATGCACACACATACATGCTCACACATGCACACTCATGTACACAAACATACGTGCTCTGTCACACATGTGCACTGTCTTATGCACACACACACACATATCCTACTCACGTACATTCTGTTTCTCTCATACACATGCACACTGTCTCTCACACACATTGTCTCGCATGCACACACTCATAATGTCCCTTTCATACACACTCTTACACACTCACTCTCTTACACACACACCCTCTTATACACAGACTGTCTCACACACACTCACATTGTCTTATACACACTGTCTCTCTCCATCACACACACACACTCTCACGCACAGACATACTGTCTGTTACACACAAACTCACACTGTCTCTCTCTCTCACACAAACACACACACTGTCTCTGTCACACACACTCACAGTCTCCCACGCACAGACACACTGTGACACACACACTCACACTGTCTCTCTTCCTCACACACATGTACACTGTCTCTCTCACACACACACATACACACACGCTGTCTCTTTCACAAACTCCTCCGCCCCCATACAGCATGTCTGGAGGTGGGAGCTCTCTCTGAACTGGAACTTGGCAGTTAGCGTCCCCACCAGCTCTTTGGTGGCCTCAGCTCTCCCGCCTTCCTCTCCTTTCGGGAAGGAGCTGTGGGGAAAGAGGTCACACTGTGGGCGCTACTCCCTGACAGACACGCACTCGTTCATCCACGGGAAAGTCAGGAGGTGGGAACCTGGGAGGCCCCCTTGGCCTGGGAGGCCTGGCACCACTGCCGTCCTTCTGTCTGTCTAAGCTCTCGTGGTTTATTTTTCTGACTATGCTGTCACTTAGGTCAAAACAGAGTTGGGGGAGACCCAGGCAGCCCCATTTTCAAACCCTTACCAGATCTCTACTTGCTAAGATTTATTGCCAAGAAGAGAATTTGAGTCTACTTTTTTGGAAAACTTTCTATTATTTGGGTGAAAGTTTACAGACCAAACCAGTTTTCCGTTCAGCAGTTCACGCGTTTGTTTTATGTCACTCACCGCCGTCCCCTCAACGTAACATCACTCCTCCTGCCTTCTCCCCGGTTCTCCTTCCCATTCCTCCTCTCCTAATGCTTCCCGCCTTCTGAACTTTGTCCTTGGGCGATGCTGCCCTTTTGGTCTCTAATGGTTGATTGTTCTGAGGACTGTCCGCCTTCCTGGAGTTACTGTTCACCTGGTAGACCTGCCTGTTGTTTGGCTCAAAGTTCAGCTTTAGGAGTGAATTCAGTTCCAGGTCTGACAGGTGACTAGGGGCCATAGTCTTGGGGGTTCCACCAGTCTTGATCTGACCACGCAGGCTTACTGAGCCTGGTCTTTTTTATAAGAAATTTTGAGTTTTGTTCCACATTCTTCTCCCACGCTATCCAGGACTTTCTAACGTGATCCCTTTCAGAGCAGTTGGTAGTGGTAGCCGGGCCCCAGCTTGTTCTGGTGTCAGGCTTGTGAGGGCTGAGGTTCGAGTCGTCTGTCAGTCCTTTGGACTAAGTGTTTCCATTTGTCCTTGATTTTCTTCACTTTGCTACAGACGGGGAGAAACCAATAGTTGGCCCTTTGATGGCCGCAGACATGCTTTTTGGACCCCGTCACTACTCACCGCAATAGAATGTGGAACGTTGTCTTTGTGGGCTGTGTTGATGCCCCTGTGACCACAGTCCTGAATTCTCAGGTCCCGTGCAGCCACTCCCTTCCTCAGGGTTTTTGGTTACGGCTAAGAAGTGTCCATAACTTTGCATCCCTGCATTTCAGCCTACTTTTTGGATGGATTAAATAAATTTGTGCTTAGAAAGTAATTATGTGCAAATTGCTATCAGTGAAGTGTGTGAAACAAACCATTCCTCTTAGGAGAATGAAGTCACTCACACCACACTTTGTCTCTTGTTTTCTTTTCCTTTGAGGTAGGATTGACACATGGTGAAGCGCACAGATTCTGAGTACACAACCCAGTGGGTTTGGACAAATGCGTACACGTGTGTAGCCGGCACTCCAGATGAGACATAACGTCTTTATCACCCAGAATGCCCCCGTCTCCTCCTAGTCAGTCCCCACCCCCACAGGCCACCTCTGTTCTGATCTGTCACCACGTTTGCCTGTTCCTGGGCCTCACAGAAATGGAATCACAGCTGTGTGCCCTTGCTCTGACTCCTTCATGTGACCCTGTGTCTCTGAGGTGGGCCGTGTTGTCCAGTGTCTTGGCACACGTGTGTGCACGTTTGTCCAGAGCGCGTGTCCAGAATGGAGCTTCTGGGAGGGAGGCCGTGAGGCTTGCCTTGCGTGAGTCGTTGGGGGAATTCCCCTCCATCCCAAGTGAACAAGGATGCGGGGGGTTTCCTTGCCAGCTTCCTTCACAGCCTGGGTCCCCCTCTTCTCCCTTCACTGAGGGCGTGTAGCTTTGAGTGTCCTGACATTATGCAGAGCTGTCTCCTGGGGTTCGACTCCCTGTCTTCCTCAGACTCTACCTTTTATTTCCTGTTTCCGCATTGCCGCCGCAGCAGGAGGTTGTTGGTTTTTCTCACTGGCGTTGCCTTTGGGCAGCCGTTGGCTTTAACCCCTGCACACCTCTGGTTGTAAGCCTTCCCTTTGTTCTGTAGACAGTGTAGCAGGTAGAAAGGAACACCCAGCTGGTTAAGGGTGCAGGCTTGGCTTGGCTTGGGCCCCACTTGTACCATCTGTTAGCTGTTTGATGATGGCTGGGTACCTTCCTGTGCCTCTGTTTTCCCATCTGTAACCAGCCTGACAGGGCTACGAAGACTGTGGTGGTCCTCATTCTGCTCTAACAGAAAATACCACAAATGGGCGGCTTCAACAAACAGGGACTTACTCTCTTACAGTTCAGGAGGCTAGAAGTCCCAGTTCAAAGTGCCAGGCTCTAGGGACTGGTAAAGGCCCCTTGACCTTGGGCTTCAGCTCTGCCTCTTGCTCCTGGCCCACAGAAGCTGGAGGCTTCTCTTAACTCAGGCAGCTGCTGGCTGCTGAGGCTGACAAACCCAAGGTTGACAAGTAAAATGGCACAGTCCCAAGATTCTCAAACAACGTGGCAGGCCACTAGTTCAAGACCAGAAATCATCCCAGGATTGGCAGACGATACGGCAGGCTGCGGAATGAAGACTCGGCTACATGCAGGGTCCAAACATGACAAAAAGCTCTGAGGTCTTTCTCAAAGCTGTCTTCTAATATACTGGGAGCAAACCACACCCCTAAGGCAGCTTCTCGGCTGTTCCAGGAGATTCCACCATGGAGTTGATGACCAGTCTCTCCTCATGAGGAATCAATACCTCTAGCTGCCCAGCCAGCTAAAACCAGGCCTGGCCAAGCTGACACACAACTAGCACAAGGACTAACTCCAGCAGTCCATGAAAGTACTTCGTTCAGGGTCTGACTCACTGACCCCTCAGTGTATGCCAACTGTTGCATTTTTTTGGCTCTAAGGATTTCCCTTAACTTTCTTGACAGTTCAGCAGTGCTTTTTTTTTTTTTTACTTGTGGTTTGGGTGAAAATTTCAGCCGTGCGTTTGTTTAAAAAATAATATTTAACTAACACTTTGTGCAGTTCCAACTCCCAGTGGCCCTAAGTCCAGCAGAGTGAAACCCCGCCTGGTCCTGCACCAGCCTCACAATCATTGCCGTCCCTGAGCCCCGTGGCAGCCGCTGTGTGAGTCCGTCTCAGTGAGGGTCTTCTTTGTCACTGGCCCTCTACCAAGTGTGACGTCCTTCTCCAGGGACTGGTCCCTTCTGACAGCATGACCAGAGGATGAGAGAAGAACTCCCATCATCCTCACTTCTAAGGAGCATTCTGGCTGCACTTCTTCCAGGACAGATTTGTCTGTTCTTCTGGCAGACCATGGTGTATTCCGTGTTCTTCTCTAACACCATCATTCAAAGGAATCAGTTCTTCTTTTGTCCTCCTTGTTTGTTGTCCAGTTTTCACATGCTATGAGCTATTGCAAATACCATGACTTGGGTCAGATGCTCCTTAGTCTTCAAAGTGACATCTTTGCTCCTAAACTCTGTGAAGAAGTCTTTTGCAGCAGATTTGCCCAGTGCAGTGATATCTTGACTGCTGCTTCCATGGGCATTGATTATGGATCCAGGAAGTGAAATCCTTGACATCTTTAATCTTTTCTTCATTTATCATGATGTTGCTTATTGGTCCGGTTGTGAGGACTTTTTGTTTTCTTTATGTTGGGATATAATCCATACTGAAGACTGTAGTCTTTGATCTTCATCAGTAGGTGCTTCAAGTCCTCTTCACTTTCAGGAAGCAAGGTTGTGTTATCTGCATATAGCAGGTTGTTAATGAGTTTTCCTCCAATCGTAATGCTGTGTTTTTCTCCATATACACAAACACACTGCTGTCGAGTCAGATCTGACTCATAGCAACCCCTCTTTGGATTTCTGAGGTGGTATCACTAGCACAGTGGCTAAGGCACTTGACTGCTAACCAGAAGGCTGGCAGTTCAAACCCACCAGCCACCCCTCGGAAGGAAGCTGGGGCAATCTACTTCCGTGGTGATACTGCCTTGGGAAACCCAAGGAGGGGTCGCTATGAGTCGGGTCCAACTCGACGGTACATAACAACAACAATAACAACATCACTATGGAAGTAGATTGCCCAGTCTTCCTTCCGAGGAGTGGTTGAGCTTATTTGCTCAGCATACAGATTGAATAAGTATTGTGAAAAGATACAGCCCTGGAGCACACCTTTTCTTGATTTTTAAACCATGCAGTATTCCTTTGTTCTGTTTGAATGATAGCCTCCTAGTCTATGTACAGTTTCCTCATAAACGCAATTGAGTGTTCTGGAATTCCCATTCTTCTCAATGTTATGCATAATTTGTTAATGATCCATGCAGTCAAGTCCCTTTGAATAGTCAATGAAACACAGTAAAAATCTTTCTGATATTCTCTGCTTTCAGCCAAGATCCATCTGGCATCAGCAGTGATATCCCTCATTCCATACTGTCTTCTGAGTCAGGCTTGAATTTCTGGCACTTCCCTGTCTGTGTACTGCTACAACCATTTAAAAATTATTTTCAGCAAAATTTTACTTGCGTGTGATATTAATGACATTGTTCGATCATTTCCACATTCTCTTGGATCGCCTTTCTTTGGAATGGCCACAGATATGGGCCTCTCCCATCAGTTGGCCAGGTAGCTATCTTCCAGATCTCTTGCCATAAATGAGAGAATGCTTCCAGCCTTGTATGTGTTTGTTGAAACATCTCAATGGGAACTCTGTCAATTCCTGGAGCCTTGTTTTTGCCATACACCTTCAGCACATCTTGGACTTCTTCCTTCAATACCATTGGTTCTTGATCATACGTCACTTCCTGAAATGGTTGAATGTCAACTACTCTTTTCTGTATAGTAACTCTGTGTGCATTTTGTAGTATGAGGGATTTTTGTGAAAATTGTTAGGTTCTGTTGATTGGCTCCAACTAATAATGACCCTGTATACACTAGAACGAAACACTGCCCGGTCCTGTGCCAGCCCCACAATCCTTGCTATACCTGAGCCCATCATTGCAGCCACTGTGTCAGTCCATCTCGTTGAGGGCCTTCCCCTTTTTCGCTGACCCTCCACTTTACCAAGCACGATATCCTTCTCCAGGGAATGGTCCCTTCTGACAACATGACCAAAGTAGGTCAGATGAAGTCTGGCCGTTCTCGCTTCCAAGGAGCATTCTGGCTGCTGCTTCCAGGACGGATTTCTTTGTTCTTTTGGCAGTCCATGGGACTCTCAGTAGTCTTCTCAACACCACGACTCAAAAGCATCACCTCTTCTTTGGTCTTCCTCATTCATTGTTCAGCTGTCACCTGCATATGAGGTGATTGAAAACACCATGGCTTGGGTTAGAGGCACCTTAGTCTTCAAAGAGACACCCTTGTTCCTCAGCACTTGAGAGAGATCTTTTGTGGTAGATTTGCCCAGTGTAATACATTATGTGATGTCTTGACTGCTGCTTCCATTGGCGTCAACTGTGGAACCAAGTAATATGAAATTTTTGACAACTTCAGTCTTTTCTCCATTTATCGAGATGCTGCTTATTGGCCCAGTTGTGAGGATTTTCGTTTTTGTTATGTTGAGATGTCATCCATACTGCAGACTGTAGTCTTTAATCTTCATCAGTAAATGCTTCAAGTCATTCCATTTCCAGCAAGCAAATTTGTGTCGTCTGCATATCTCAGGTTGTTAATGAGTCTTCCTCCAATCCTGATGCCACGTTCTTCTTCATATAGTCCAGCTTCTCTGATTATTTGCTCAGCATACAGATTGAATAAGTATGGGGAAAGGACACAACCCAGACACACTCCTTTCTTGATTCAAAACCATGCAATGTCCCTTTGTTCTGTTCGAATGACAGCCTTCTGATCCATATACAGTGTCCTCATGAGCGCAATGAAGTGTTCTGGAATTCCCATTGTTCTCAGTGTTATGCATATTTTGTTATGCTCCACACAATTGAATGCCATGTTACCCTGATTTTATTCCCTTTGATTAGTAAAATGATCTGCAGCAGCATTTCCCCCTTTCCATGGCCACATGGAAAAAAAATGTGCACGTTATGTTGACATCTGCCAGCCACGTGGTCTAGAAGCCCGTGGAAGCCGAGGGGCCTGGGTGTGTGTGTGTGTTTGGGTAGCAGATGTCCATCTTCCATCTCCCTCTCGTTTTCCACAGGGTCTTTACCAAGCTGGCCAATAAATCTACCTCTGATTGCCTGGACTTCGACTCCATGACAGTCGGTGCCTTCCCGGTTCGCCGCCTTTCCACGGCCTCCTCAGTCACCAAGCCCCCACACTTCATCCTCACCACTGACTGGGTGTGGTACTGGAGGGACGAGGATGGTTCTTGGCAGGAATATGGAAGACAGGTAAGTGGATGGACCAAGAACAAGCATTTCCTCCTGTGGTGTCATGGTGGGGCCCTTTCTGGGCTCAAGGATCATGGCGCGGGGCCTCAGTGGACAGATTCCATGTGCCATTTAGTATTCCTCAGCTTTGGGGGAATTACAGCAACACACAGCAGTTTGTATGAGGTTCTTCGTTGCGATACCGGTTGGCTTCTCAGAATGGAATCCCCGACATCATGGGGAGGCGGTGCTTCTTTGTGGGTTTGTAACACAGGCCAGGAAGGGGTTTCTCCTCTTGGCAAGCAAGTAGCTCTGGAGGAGGGGGTCTCTGTGTCTGCCTGTGGGTGTGGATGTGTTGGAATGGCTGCAGGGTAAGGGTTAGCACTTTCCAGGCTGGCTTCTCACTGTCTTCAAAACAGCATCTTCATAGAAGGTAGGCGACTGGAAGATTGATGTACAGGTATTGATTTAGAAGGGTCCCTTGGTGCAGCTAGTTTGCACTTGACTACTAATCATATAAAGACGACACAACTTCGCTTGCTGAGATTGAGGATGACTTGAAATACTTCCTGATGAAGATCCAAGACGATAGTCTGCAGTATGGATTGCACCTCAACATAAAGAAAACAAAAATCCTCACAACTGGACCAATAAACAGCATCACGATGAATGGAGAGAAGATTGAAGTTGTCAAAGATTTCATATTACTTGGTTCCACAAACACCAATGGAAGCAGCAGTCAAGACATCAGACATCATATTGCACTGAACAAATCTGCTGCAAAAGATCTCTTTAAAGTGCTGAAGAGCAAAGATAATGTCTTTGAAGACTAAAGTGCACGTGACCCAAGCCGTGGTATTTTCAATCGCCTCATATGCATGTGAGAGCTGGGCAATGAATAAGGAAGACCAAAGAAGAGTGGATGCTTTTGAGTTGTGATGCTGGTGAAGAATGTTGAAAGTACCAGGGACTGCCATAAGAACTAACAAATCTGTCCTGGAAGAAGTGCAGCCGGAATGCTCCTTGGAAGTGAGAATGGCCAGACATCGTCTCACCTCCTTTGGTCACGTTGTCAGAAGGGACCATTCCCTGGAGAAGGATGTCATGCTTGGTAAAGTGGAGGGGCAGTGAAAAAGGGGAAGGCCCTAACGAGATGGACTGACACAGTGGCTGCAACGATGGGCTCAGGGATAGCAAGGGTCATGAGGCTGGCACAGGACCAGGCAGTGTTTCGTGCTGTTGTACACAGGGTCGCTGTGAGTTGGAGCCTACTTGACAACACCTGACAACAGCAACAAGTGGTCATAATGTTGGCAGTTCAAATCTACCCAGTGGCGCTGTGGATAAAAGGCTTGGCACCCTGCTTGCATTAGATGACAGCCGTTGAAAATACTGTGGACCTCACAGTTCAACCCTGAAACACGTGGGGTCGCCATGCGTCAGAATCAACTTCTTGGCAGCGGGCTTATTTGTTTATTTCTGGATGGATGGATTTGGATCCTGGAATGAATTAACTGCTGCTGACAGTTATTGGAGATGTCACTGGGTAGATCACATTGATAGAGTCCCCGGGTTTCTTGTAAAAGTACAAGTATCAGAAGGTTGTCACTTATACAGGGACATACTTTCCAAAGTAGAACTTGAGGTGTATGTCTGAGGGACAAGTCTTGTCTGGGTTGTAAGAAACTCTGCCCTGGTTGTAAGACCCGCCCCCTGGCCTGAGCTCCCCTGGGACCTGGAAGGGCCTGTTGTGTCTGTATCTGTGTGTGTAGCGCCCACAGCGTGGGGCCAGCAGGGCAGGATGGTGGTTCTAGGGCAGGCAGAGCAGCGGACCGAGGCCGTGACGGGTTTCAGGACTCTGAGTGCAGCGCGAGTGCGGAGAGAAGAGCGGGACGGCCCACGGCGAGTCGGGACGGCCCTGGCCTTCACCAGGTGTTTTCTGTTCCCAGCACTGTGCTGAGCCCTTGCCTGCCTCATTTTAATTCTTTTCCCATTGCTTTGGCTGTAGTATGGTGCTTATTCCTGTAACACGTGCGGACAACTGAGGCCCCAAGAGGCTAGAGTAACTTGCCAAGGAGATGGAGTGAGTGGATTTCAGAGCCAGAATCCCAACTCAATCCGACCCAAAACACGAGATGCCTTGTAGCTAATTGTAGGGGGTGAGGGACCAAAATGGATGAGTGACAAAACAGAAGAGTGTCCAAGGGACCAGAATAAGAAAACAGCAAGACAGGGGGCCAAGCTGAGTGAAGAGGCGGACAAAGATGGGTGGGGAACAGTTAGGGGTGTGAACTGACTGGAGAGGGGGACCAGGATGGACGGGGGAAGAGGCGGGGGGCTGAGGTGAC